TAATAAAAATTGGCTCCAAATGACCCAGAATCCGAATTTCACAATGAACATATTGTAAGTGTTGCTCAATCATAAGTAGGGACAAAACTGTCGGATCCCAAGCAATTATAATACGAGTCCCTTTGATCACACAAACTCCCATTCGAGATCCAACTCCAATTTCCAAACACTTTACCACACACATCCCCCATATGACTATGTACAACTTTGGACTCAATGATGCAACATAAAGAAAGATGCTTTAATTTAATAAGATCACGTACCTCCTTTAGCTTTATTAGGGCATTTAGACCCCTAATATTCCACGCAGCGATCTTAATCATTGAGAGAGTGAAGTGGATTTTGCCCCTTTACTATAGTCCAAAGAATGCCCCTCAGTGTCAATTATCTCCATATCATCATCATCACTATAATCATCAGAAGGTAGTGGGGAAAATCTATTACTAGTAGACGTAGAGGAAACTGCACCACGTCTTGGTTTCATCGCTTGAATCACCGCTTTATAGTACCGACTCCAACTATCGTCTCATGAAAATTAGAAGGTTCACCTGAAGAAGTAGCCTGAGCACCATAACTAGACCCTGAACTCTGTTTCGGCTTCCATTGTTTACGCTTTTTCTCTATAAACCCATCATTATGCAACGGCTTGACAATCCCCTTTTGTTTTTGAATACCCCCTTTCAGACAAGAATTCGTATTATGGCCAAAAACTTTGCATTTCGAACGTTGAGAAGGCACCCAATTATATTCCATAACTACCTTTATCACATCTTCACCATTACCCGAAAGCCTCGGAATGACAACTTCAATCTGCTTCTGAATTTCACCCATGGCCCAAACATCCACCAAAACTTTAGCAAAATTAGTACGACCCCATGCTTTATCACAAGTACTAGCAGTACAAGCATCCAAACGCAAAGGGACTCCAACAGCACTAGCAATTCGGCTAATACCCTCTCTATTAAAAGCAACAAGAGAAATATTATAGAATTTAATCCATAACGGACAGGAGGTATGTTCAGGTTTAGTAAGCCCCTTTGAAGGATCCCATGTGGAGACAAAAAGAGGCCTCCCACGAATCATAAGGGGAGACGACTCAACCACTTGATTGCAACCACCATTATCATTAAATCGAAAGAAGAAGTATCCAATGTAGTTTACCATTGCATCCTTAAGCCCAAACTTGCCCCAAGCATTATGAACCGCACGCAGAACAATTGGAAATGGAAGACGAGGTCCCAAAAAGTAGCCATAAAGAACCGACTGGAATGATTCAGCCATCTCCCTCGTAGTTTCCAAAGTAAATTGAATCCTCGGTTTCACATTCTTCTCAACCGGGTAGTACTTCAGTTCTTGAGTTGAAGTGCTACCAACAATTTCAGCAAAGGACTTTTTATGGTGTATACTACTCCCACCCAAAACTGCAGGTGATATGCGCTCCCATACCGAAACCCTTTTAGCGGGACCCAAATTTGCACCAATCCCCTTCAACAGCGCCTCCGTTGTACCCCCATGCAAAGGAGTACCATGCAAGTCACCAATGACCGATTCTCCAAGAATGACCTCAGCAAAATCCTTAGGAGAAGGATCCTCCAAAATTGCATCCGCAAAGTCTAACATCTTTACCACACGACAAAACAAATACCTAATTCCCCCTATCCCTAGTCAAGAAGCCGCGGTGCTGAAACCCTTAAAGAGTGTTCTCAATAAAATAAACGAAGACCCCACAAGGAGGTGCTGAATATTCTATTAAGTAACTCAAGAAAGGCAACGAAGACCACAGAAACACTTGACACAGGAAATAAGAAAAACTAGATAAAACCCACTTTGAAGATCACGACGAAAATAATGAATAAGCCACAAAAGATCAAATTCCGAACCAAAGATCACCAAAACGATCAAAAAGCCACGAGAACCAAACACACTTACCACCAAGAAAAGTAAAAGAAACGGCACAAACCCTAGCAAGCAAAAACCCTACGGCAAGAAAGATACCAAGAAGGAAACCCTAGCCGTGAGCACTACACTACACGGCCGTAAACCCTAGCATGCAAAAACCGACGGCCAAGAAGAAACCTTTGCCGTGAGCAATACACTACACGGCCTCAAACCCTAGCATGCAAAATCCGACAGCCAAGATGAAACCCTAGCCGTGAGCAATACACTACATGGCCAAGAAGAGAAAAGTCGAAAACAAACTCAAAGGAAAAACGGGTTGCCAACAATGGGGAAGAGGAGACAAAGAACCAAAACCAATCAAGAAAGGAAATCGCACAAAGTAAAACGAAAACCAACCTCAAAGAAGTAAACCCTAATGCCGCCTCCAAGACAAAACCGAAGAACCCTAAATCGTGAAACAAATCTGCCTTGGAAGGAATCACGATTGCAAACCAAGAAATAATGCCAAGTAAAACGAAAATGAAGAGAAGAAACGCATAAACATCACCAAAGAACAATCGAAATCGTCATCTTCATCTTCATACGTTCATGCCACCTTGAGAGAAAAAGTCAAACCCTAGTCAAGCCTCCCATAAGGATTCTACTGAAAGGGGAAGAGTTTCCCCAGGCAATTTTATAAAGACAGTAAAAATGTCACCAAAACAATACAATCAGCAAGAGAAACTACGGCAACCTTGACTCACAAACCAAGTCATAAGGAGCCAAAACAGACAAAGGGAAATACACCAAAACATAACAACACCAAAAGCCAACAATAAAAAGGCAAAAGAACCCAAATGAGCCAAAACCGAAAAAGCACACCACCCACGAGATCACATGCCATTTGGATTCCTAATCTTCTTCCTTGTCTTCCACGCCATTCGATGAAGAATCAGMATCTTGATCTCCGTAATAACTTTATCCCCCGAAAGATTGAAATTGGCAAAGAACTTCCTGTTCCGCTCCCTCCAGATGAGATAAACCGTTGCTGAAAGACCAAGTTTTTGAA